GGAATGCAAAGGTTTGCTTAAGACCACACATTTAGTATAAAGCCTGGCCATACCTGATCCCTCCACTCATATTTGACTATTTAAGGTAGGAAGTAACCTACCTCCTAAGGAAAGGAATCCACTAGTATGTCAAGGTCAAAGGGTAGAACAATTATAAATGAGCTTACTTACTTTTTGTCTGGTGAGACTGTGATCCCATTGGCAGAACTAAATCCTCGGGCCACCACTTTGACCTCCCTTGGACTATAGAAAAGAACATAAGTCCACTGAAGATCTATGAACATCTCTAATAGTGACAAGAAGTGGCTGGTAAAATAGTGGTCTCTGGTGGCATAGAACTGTTCTGGTCCAAGAGCCACGATGTCATTCACACTAAAGGAGAGAGAGAGAGAGAGAGAGAGAGATTTAAAATAATGATTGTTGTCAAAATCACCAGTCTCTACAAAGACCAATATGTTGATCAACTTGAGAAAGTATACATGAACTAGTATGAATTTTAAAAATCCACAGAAAGTAAATGATTTTTCATTGCCCTGATTTTTTTTAGCCAGAGAGCCACGATGTCATTCACACTAAAGTAGAGAGAGAGAGAGAGAGAGAGAGTTTTAAAATAATGATTGTTGTCAAAATCACCAGTCTCTACAAAGACCAATATGTTGATCAACTTGAGAAAGTATACATGAACTAGTATGAATTTTAAAAATCCACAGAAAGTAAATGATTTTTCATTGCCCTGATTTTTTTTAGCCATTTGTTATTCTCATTCCTCTCTTTTGCAGAAGTCAGTAAAACCCAATATACAAATAAGCCTCAAACTCCAAATCTTTGGACTTGTAAATGTTTATAATAGCTATCTGTGGCGGTCATAGTACAGTTGGCCAATAGTGCTAGTTCTTCTCTTTCTGCAATTAGGTTTCTCCAATGTCCTTGAAGTTAGGCATGGCCATGCGACTAGCTTTGGCCAATGAAATGAAGTGATTGTGTGTGGCTTTCAGGTGGAAGACTTTAAGAGCTGGTTCATGATCCACCATGCTTCTTCCCCCACTCTTCTACAGTAACCAGCAACTTTCTTGATGATGCATAGTATGGTTCTCCAAGGGTCCTACATGAGGATAATATAAAACTGAGTCCCCATATCACCTGCACTAGAGGCATAGCATGAGTGAGAAAAGAAAAGTTTGTGGAGAAGTTAGGGTTTTCTTTTCTGCTATTTTAGCATAACCCAATTCATCTTGACCTTCATATTTTCTTAGAGTAGGTGAAATTGTAGTGCTATTCCTTCCATTTATGTTCTTTAATACCATTTCATTTTTTTAAATGAAGTAAGTTTTACTCTTACAAGATAAAAAAATAAGTCATTTTCATTTTGGAAAAGTAAAAAAGAAGACAGTGACTTGAAAATGTAAAAAAAAAAAGGTTAAATCTTTTTAAATTAAATTGGGTAAGAAAACTGGGTGAATCAGGAAAATATTTTTAGGTTTTGATGTATAATGTCTTTTCCAAGGTCATCTTTCAGGTCTCAGCATAAGCATTCCTTCCTCTAAAAGGTATTGCCTGACCCCATAGGTTGAATTCTCTCAAGAATAGCACGTTGTTCTACCCCTTAAAATGCTTGGTCAATGTGGGTATCAGGGCACTCCTTAAGGTTCTCATTAGATCCTCCTTAGAGCCTCACTTGCCCTGTTCCAGTTGACACTCCTTCAACCAGCTCTTCAAGGGATCTGGCAGACTTTCCACAGTACAGCTTTATGGTACTTTACCTCATGCCTGTGTGGCTCTCTTGCTCCCACTTTCAGGCTTCTGTGTTGACAACAAAACACAACGTATCACCAGGCGTGACTTGTGCAGGTACCAAGTGAATAGCCCTTGAGGTAAACCTTTGACTAATGGGAGATAAGGCTAGTAGATAAGCCCCTTTCCCTTTCTTAACCTTAGACAGGTTAGAAAGGGAGAAGGATAATGTATTTGCTATAGATTGTCCCCCATATGAGTTTCTATAAATGCTGCCGTAACAAAGTGCCACAAACGAGGTGGCATAAAACAACAGAAATGTATTGTCTTGCAGTTCTGGAGGCTAGTAGTCTGAAATCAAGGTGTTGACAGGGCCGTGCTCCCCCTGAAGTTTTCTGTGGTAGAATCCTTCCTTATCTCTTTTGGCTTCTAGTAGCCCCAGGCGATCCTTGGCTTGTAGATCCATCACTTCAATCTCACACCCCATCTTTACCTAGCATTCTCCCTGTGTGTCTGCCTGTTTTCTTATAAGGACACCAGTTATATTAGATCAAGGGCCCACCAATATGGAGGGCATTAACTAATAACATCTACCAATGATCCTATTTCCAAATCAGGTCATGTTCTGAAATATTGGGGTTAACATTGCAACATGTCTTTTTGAGGGAACACAATTCAACCCATATTACTCCCTCTTCCCTGCCTCAAGCTGTACTCTCAATGGCTCAGTAGTTGAGCATTGACCTATGAACCAGGAAGTCATAGTTCGATTCCTGGTCAGTACACACGCCTGGGTTGTGGGCTTGATCCCCAGTGTGGGGTGTGCAGGAGGCAGTCAGTCAATGATTCTCTCTCCCTTCCTCTCTGAAATCAATAAAAATATATTTTTTTAAAAAAGAGAAAGGAGTTCAGTAACTTCAACTAATCTCACTTTTTTTGCCCTCTGCTTTTATTGCTCCCAGATTCTATGGGAGAAGTCCATACATGATGTTGAGAAAGAGAACAAAGACAAGAAGGTGAACTTCCATTTATTTTCCCATTCTTCTATCTCATGAAAAGATTAATCTCTACTGTTTCAGTGTTGAGTCCATTTTATAAGACAAATTTTTCATTGTTTGTTACAGCCTTGAAATAGGCAACCTATCCACTAAAAAATGTACTATTGTTTTGCAACACAATAAGAAAGATGTTTAGCATTGTCACTGAGAGCACAGCTTTGAATTCAGACAGATCTAGGTTTACACTCTGGTTCTGCCACTTACAAATTATGTAACACGAGCAATTTTTTAATTTAAACCACTAAGTGTCAGCTTACTCATGCCTGTTATTGAAGGCTGTTGTGAGAATTAAATTAAGTATTTTTGTACAATGCCTGGCACATCATCGAAGCTTGATAAATGTGATTTTTATATGTGCCCACTGGCTTTTTTTTTCAAATTCCACTTTAAAGCTCTCAGTGAACAAAGAAAAAGCCCATCTTGAAGTTGGTTGTAACACCTAGTGGGTACAGCTCTCAGACACAGCCTACCAGGATAACTAGAAATGGGTGTAGGTGTTTAAAGAGAGCCCCATAGTTAGTATTGCATTGTTGTGGAATTAGAGCTGGGAATCTAATTGAGCACTTTCATAGGATTAAAATGCTTTCAAGAAGTTGGAAAATATAAAGATATTCAATACTAAACAGCAATTTCTGGTGAGATGCTGGGCAGTGTCACCATGGGAACCTTTAGAAAGCTTCAGAAAACAATGCTACAGAACAATAGTTTGAGGAAGCCCGCTGAACCCAAGAAAACAAAGCACCCAGCAGAGGTGCAAAAATAAATAGAAGTGCAAAATGCTTTAAATCCATACCTTTGGAGAAGTTCGTGTTCTATAGTTTTCAGGTGAACCAGAGAACGTTGTTGTTTCTCAAATTTAAATATCTCCACAGTAGACTTCATGTGGGGATGATTCACAACATAAAGGTACACAGTATGGTCTAAGTGGGAAAAGGCATAATTTTCCATAAGTTTACCTCTATTGCAACTTTTATTAGACTTGGTGTGCAACTTGGTCACATCCAAGAGTTTTTCTCAGACATCTTGCATTGGATTCCCACAGTCCACTTGATAGGCAAGTCAGACAAGTGCCAGTATCACTATTTTATTGAAGAAATTGAGACTCAGAAGAATGATTTGTCCGCAATTTTACCATCACCAAATGGCAAAGCCAAACTCTGATGTTTCCACGTAGTCTCTTCATCCTCACCTGCATTCCCCTTTCTAACTGGAAGGCACAGAACTACAGTGGTGCGTGGACATGGATATGGTTTCCTCAGATGGCTCTTCAACAGGAGAAGTGGATGCAAGCAAACAAAACCTTGCTGAGAATTCTTTTTGGTGAATATTTCCTAGATTGCAACACACGTTCCAAAAATGCCAGGGCTGTGTGAATAGCTTAAACTAGCAATACTTCCCAGCTAGAGAATGAACTTCTGATGCAAGTCAACCACCTAAGGTTGCAATAACAATATTTAGTGAGCCTAGTGGACATGGAATGTAAATATGAATGCAAGAGGAAACAGAGTAGACAGTTGTGGGTATTGCCTTAAGAATGTTCAACTATCTGCTTTCATATTGGACTGTGAAAGGCTGTGAACAAGATTGAGGGTAGTAATCCGTCTTCTCAAAGTACTGTTTCCTGACTTGCCAGGAGCTCCAGGTCAGATGAGTTCTGGATTTTTAAAAGGCCTGCCCTCATCCTCCTACTGGACTCTCCTCTATTCCCTCCCTTAATGGGGTTCCCAAGCCTATAATGGAGCAAACCCGGGCCCTGAGATGGGCCCTGAAACACACTGATACCTTGACCCAAATTAAGAAAAGGGGATCCCTCACAGATGAGTCTTTCATTTGGTCTGACCCAGCTCTGGTCCAGGGCCAGGGGCGTGGCAAGCAGAACTGAGTTGTATTTTAGTCCTCACGTGGCCCTTCAGCCAGACACTCCTGTCAAACACAGCATGAACAATACGTGTGCTGTCCTGGGCCTACCCTTTGTTAGGCCTCCACGGGCCCCTCCTTCCATAAAGCAATGCTTGGTGAGAATAACGTTCTTTGCCTTCTCATTCCATTCCAATATATATGTGATGTTTTGGCCTTATGAATTAAATGCATAATTAAGGGAGGTGACTAATAAAATAAGATGCCAATCATAATATACTGAGCTTCTGAAATCCTGATTAAATGTCTAAGGGTTAATCTGTAAACTTTAAACTGGTCCCATTTTAGGGGAAAAAACAAATACCTCAAATCAAGGCTCACTCTCCCCTCCCCCCTCCCAATAAAATAGCTCCAGGTTAATCTGATTACTCATTACAACTTCTCCAGTGAAGCAATATGTTTAGTTTTGTGTCAGGTAAAAAAAAGTGGTGACTTTGTATTATTCAAGCAGAGCCTGAAGCCCTAATTTTACCCAAATAAAGAACATAGGATTAGAAGTAAGACCCCTGGGGGTTCCAGTTCTGGAACTGCCATTTACTCCTGACAAAAGTGAAGCCACACTTCACTGCATTTCTCTAACCTCCATTTCTCCATCTATAAAATTGAGCATTAATATCTGAACTGTCTGTGCCATAGGGTTCATTCATTTATTCATTTAACACATGTTCTAGAGCAGCAGATATGGTTCTAGACTCTGGGAATCCAGCAATGAACAAGTCACACATGCTTTTGTGGTGATTATATTCTAGATAGGAAAATATGGAGGAAATGAATAGTAAATAAAAGAAATGTAAGTAGGAGATGCCTTCTTCATAGAGTGCAGCCACTTGAACAGTGACAGGTAAGCTTGGCTCCAAAGATTAGAAGGAGCTCACTATAGAGGAGTGGTTCTCAACCTTCCTAATGCCGCGACCCTTTAATACAGTTCCTCATGTTGTGGTGACCCCCAACCATAAAATTATTTTCGTTGCTACTTCATAACTGTAATTTTGCTACTGTTATGAATCATAATGTAAATATCTGATATGCAGGATGTATTTTAATTGTTACAAATTGAACATAATTAAAGCATGGTGATTAATCACAAAAACAATATGTAATTATATATTCAATATGTGTTTTCCGATGGTCTTAGGCGACTCCTGTGAACGGGTCGTTCGACCCCCAAAGGGGTCACGACCCACAGGTTGAGAACCGCTGCTATAGAGCAATAGTGGGAGAGGTGTAGAAGGTTGGTACCTTTTAACATTAATAAGAAAACATTAGTTGCTATTCTCATGAGTGCTAAAAGAAGTACATCGAGAAGAAATATAATAAGGTTCATGCCCTGAAACAGGTTGGGGAAGGCTTCCCTAAGAAGGTGACACTTAAGCTGAGGCCTGACTGATGAGGATGAGTAATCCAGAAGTAGTGGAAAGATATTCCAGGCATGGGGAACTGCAGATGCAAAGGCCCTGAGGCAGGTAGCATTTTATAGGACTAAAAGAAATCCAATGTGGCTGGTCTGGAGAGTCAGGAGGAGGGTGGTGTCTGGTGAGGCTGGCGGGAGCACCCAGATGCCAGAATGTGTAGGAGTAGCCCCTAGGAACCCAGGTTATTTTGAAGATTTGGTGTTGATCTTCAGAGTAATGGGAACAACATGGAGCATTTTAAGAAGAGAGTGACATGATCACATTCGCATAAAAATAACTCTTGATTATGGAAATGGATTGAGGTAGCATTAGAGGGAAGGTGCAGTCATGGGAAAGATGTTTGGCACTTGGACTGGGATGGTGGCAGTGAGGATGGGAAGAGCTGGACAGCTTGGAGAGATGGATAAGAGGGAAATTAGAGCATTGTAACTAGTTCACTGAATGGCGCAGGGAGAGGAAAAGTGTCAGGTTGGGACAGGGCTTTATTTTGAGGACTAAATAAATCACACATACATGAAAATGCTTTATCAACTATAAAGCAATACAAAATTGTTATGTGACTGGTTAGGTATAATTACCTTTTAAAGAAGGACTTGCTAAGCAAATAAACAGATATACAGGGGTGGGCAAACACACACACACACACACACACACACACACAAATACATGCACTCATGCACCTATGCATTCACGCACTTACAGTAACACTATTCTTGGCCCTTCACCCCTGGGGGAGTGAATCTAATCTTCAAGCTTTTCTTAGAATAATCCTTCTATGCCTAAATCTTACTGGAAAGCTGGCTCTCCTGCAGGCCAACACTGAAGCACATCAGAGAAGGTGTCTGCCCTCTTACATTCTCCTTAAGTCACCACACCTAGAGGAGAGAGCAGCATGCCCGAGCTACAATCTTCCAGACCTCTTATCTGTTATCATCAATCAACAACTTGTTCCTAAGGAAGCCACACGCTTTGCTTGCTCCCTACTCATCAAATATCAAATTCCCTACCAACCCCCTTTGCCCTGGTCCATCTCTTACAGGGCTAGTCTAAATCAGGCGGAAAATCTTAGAAGGTTTACAGTTGTTTGCATGGAAAAAGACTTGCAGGTTATGATTATTTCAATAGCTTTATTACCTCAAAAGAATGTCACAGTGGCACAGTAAACCTACTTTTCCCCACCCCTACATAAGATTTCAGGGTAATATTTAACCTACTTCATAAAACAGTATTCAAGCATTTTTAAAGATACCCATTTATGTAAACTTGAACAAGTCTGTTGGTGCAGACCAAACTTATTGGATAAGTGGATGGAAATAATTACGAATCATTAAATCAGTCCAGCAAATTTATACTTAGCAATACATTGTAATTCCATTAGGTATTTGGAAGAATTAAAGCACCATTTCTTCAAACATTCTGAATTGCAACACTTCCATTTGGTCTTCCCTTTATGTAGTTACTATTAAGTTTCACTGTTCTTATTTTCTATGTGTTCTATGGGCCCACAGGCGCTTAAAAACGAAATTAATTTGGAATTAGGAACCATCAACAACTAAAAAATAATATTTGAAATTGTTTTAAAGCATAAACAATGTATTAATACGTATGTTTTGTTTTTATAACAGCTTTTTTGAATATAATTCCCTTGCCATTTCCCTCATTCTCCCCCTTATTCTTAAGCATTCAAACTTTACCTTTGTCAATGAAAGTACTGATCCCATGTGGATTGAATGATGTTTTGTCAAAACCATCACTGATTGTCAGTGCCTGGGCCCTTGGGCTCTGCTCATTCAGATCCATCAGGAAGATTTGTCCTGGCTCATCTGGTGCAAAGCTTGGCATGCCAGGATATTTTAATCCCTTTAAAAAACAGAGAATAAGTATGTACATATATACATATCAAAAAAATGTTTTCATAAGGAAACGAAAAGCTCAAAGTCTAGCAAAGATATTAAAAACTCTAAACTTCTTTTAGATTTCTGGGACATTTTTATCTGTCAGCTGTTGCCATTATCTAATCTGAGGGATTAGCAATGTCATCTAAACCATTGGGAATGGGAAGAATCCAAAGTCAGTTTTTGATATAGAAAGAAAGCGTTTAGACAAAGTACCGTGCAAGAGATGAGAGGCTGTGTTACTTTGTGTGGGTCCCTCGCCTGTCTGTGCCTAAGGTTCCTCTTTTAGAAAATGAGGATGTTAAAATGTGTGATATCTAAGACTCTATCCAGTCCTGATATTCTATAACTAACCTTCCTCAAAGTGGAGAGATGGGGTGTGTAGTGTCATTGTATTGCTTCCATCCTGACATCCATTACATTTCATAGTAGAATTAGCCAAGAGTTAACTTTGTGGAACTAGTCTTAAAGAGTTGACTATTTCTGACCTATTTTGTTCTTATAAATATGTCTGAAAATTCGAATGTGAATCTTTTTCTCTAAATAATGCAAAAAGTTCTTGGAGAGTGGCCCTGTTTATTGAAGGACCAAGTACTTATAAACCAATCATAGGCATCCTGAATGTCTTGGGCCTTTGCTGCATCCCTTGATGGTCATTGTATCAAATCTTGGGGTTGACTTATTCTACAGAAGTTGCAACTTCCTCCCCACATTCCGTCCCGCATAAGTCTGATAATATCAACCTTAATATTAACAACCCTGTATCTTTTCTTGTACCCTCATTTTTCCATTTATACTCACTTTAAATTCTTTCTTTCCTTTTCTCTCTCTCTCTCTCTCTCTCTCTCCCCCTCACCAATGTAATTACTTCTAATGTTCTCTTATTTTTCCCTGCCTTCAACACACACACACACACACACACACACACACACACACTTACAATAACATTATTCTTGGCCCTCACCCCTGGGGGAGTGAATCTAATCTTCAAGCTTTTCTTAGAATAATCCTTCTATGCCTAAATCTTACTGGAAAGCTGGCCTCCTGCAGGCAACACTGAAGCACATCAGAGAAGGTGTCTGCCCTCTTACATTCTCCTTAAGTCACCACACCTAGAGGAGAGAGCAGCATGCCAGAGCTACAATCTTCCAGACCTCTTATCTGTTATCATCAATCAACAACTTGTTCCTAAGGAAGCCACACGCTTTGCTTGCTATCTCCTTATCAAATCCCCTACCAACTCCTTTTGCCCTGGTCCACCTCTTACAGGGCTAGTCTAAATCAGGAGAAAAAACTTAGATACAAAATTATCATCCCAACTTTAATCAGACATCCAATGATGTTTATAGCCTTTTTGTGCATTCTAATAGGCAATCTACTGCATTTCTCCAAATGTTTATCCTAAATTTATTTCTTTATCTACCTCTTTATTCTCAATGAGTAATTTTACCTCCTATCTCTCTGGTGGGAAAATCACAAACAAATATGCCATCCAACATCAATTTCCTCTGACTCCCTGCTTTCCAACTCAATAATTTTTCAATTTTATCAATTCTCTTCTTTTCTCCCTCTTTGACAGAGTTGAACTTTAATTTCCTCAAAATAATTTCCAGATGGTTAAGAATGTCTTTCTATGTATGGTATTTTCAGGAGCTAAATAAAAAGCCATCCATTTGCTTACGTGGTAATTTTTCAGCAACATGCCACATTCGTTTTAAATGTTCACTGCTGACATTAAAACTTTGATGTTCAAGACACCTGTATGGGGGCCAATAGCACACTCTTTATCAGCATGTCAGAAACTGTCACCAGGACCTGGCACCTGGGAGAGAGGGCTCTTAGACATGCGTATGTAGCAATTCTGTGCTGCCATGTCCACTTTCCTTCTGAAAGGAGAGCACTAACCCACTGTCTGAAGATGTTCTCCTTCTTTCTGCAACTATAGAATGTAAGCAAGGAACTACTTCAGGGGAGAAGAAAGGAAGATATTGAAGAGGGAAGTAAGGTGGAATTTCTTGATTCTCCTATCCATCTTCCTGGGAACAGACCCAGACTGGAACTCAGAGTCCGACCGAAAGCTCATCCTCAAGCATGTCTCTTTGCTCAGTTAATGAATCCTCTGTACCTCAGTTTTGGTCAGCCGTCCATTTCATATGTATGTATGTATGTATTTACTTATTTATTTTTATTGTTGACAGTATTACAGAAGTCCCCATTTTCCCCCTTTTTGCCCCTCTCCATCCAACCCCTGCCCCACCCCAGGCCTTTCCCGCACAATTATTTGTGTCCATGGGTTAAGCAATCATTAATTGCTTCGCTTCCTATCCACCTCCCTTCCCTCTGAGATCTGTTATTCTGTTCCATGTCTATGGATCTATTTTGGTCATCAGTTTATTTTGTTCATAGATTCCACATATAAGTGAGATCACATGATATTTGTCTTTCTCTGACTGGCTTATTTCACTTAGCATGATGCTCTGCAGGTCCATCCATGCTGTCACAAATGGTAAGAGATCATTCTCTTTTACAGAAGAGTGTCTTCCATTGTGTAAATGTACCACACCTTTTTTATCTACTCATCTACTGATGGGCACTTAGGCTGTTTTCAAGTCTTACCTACTGTAAATAATGCTGCTATGAACATGGGGGTGCATATATTCTTTCTGATTGATGTTTCTGGATTCTTAGGATATATTCCCAGAAGTGGGATCGCTGGATCAAATGGCAGTTCCATTTTTTATTTTTAAGAACTGTCCATACTGTTTTCCATAGTGGCTGCACCAGTCTGCCTTCTTCTGTTAACTCCACCACCTGTTTATTTGATTTCTTGTTCTCTAGGCCCTGTCTTCAGAAAGTAAATCCTCTCTCTCTTGCTTTAGCACTTATTTTTTTACCAATGTCCCTTCTTTTGCTTGAAAAATTGCTCGTTTTTCATTCCTTGAAACCAATGGACTGCTAACTTTACTACTTCTTCAAACATGCATTTATTTTGTCTTCTCGTCACTGTCAAATTTCTTGAAAACATAACATGATCTTGTTACCAGATTTGATTTGTTCAAACTTTCAGAAATCAGTATTCTGTAGTTTATAGAAATGCCTCTATAAAGGTCATATGAATGGCCTCCAAAATATCCCATGTGAAAACCCCTCTACTTTCTCTTGCTTATATCTCTGTGGCATTTGACACTATTGTATATCCCTTTGTTTCTTGTCAAAGGAGAAGAAGGAGAAGAAGGAGAAGAAGGAGAAGAAGAAGAAGGGAAGGAGGCAGAGGAGGAGGAGGAGAAGAATTTGCTAATGTAAGTCCTGCTTCTCTTCTTGCCTCTTCCTCTTTCTGTCCTCATCCATCCTTCTTTCCTTCTTGCTCTATACTCCTTCCTTGCAGATCTTAGTCATAAGATTTCAGATATTTCTTCTATACCAATGATTTTCAAATCTACACATTTAACAAGAATCTCTCTCTGGAGTTCTAGCTTGCATTCCCAACTTCTTCCTAAGGGCAGCCCATAATCAAATTGTCAAAACCAATATCAACATTCTCTCCTCAAATCCTGTCTCTCATTCATATCTATTATTCTCTTTTGAAGGCATCACTATTCTCCCCAATATTAGGCCATAAAATCCAGTCTTTAAATCTACTCTTTTCCAAATAGTCAATTGGTCACCAAGTCCAGTAGCTTAGATAATGGCATCATTGAGGGGAAAAATGTCAGAAACATATCATCCTTCCCTTTTTACCTGGGGAAAATTAAGCCCAGGGAAGCCAATTTCCTAGATTACTCAGATTATTAATTATACAGCCTCATTACCACACCATAAAGAAAGGTTTGGCAGTAGAGAATATCGCGCAGGAAGGCAGGTCAGGGCAGAACATCACAGCATGTACCATGGTAGCTTGGGGAATGTGAGGGCATTGCCAACTAGTACAAAGATTTGCTGTTCTAGAGATGAAGGGTGAAGCATTGCAAACAACTTGGCCTAGATTAAGTGTCATGATGAATGAAACACCTCTGATAAAATGCCTTCTCATTCACTCGGTTTTCTGTTTAAGGCAATTGGGTAAGAATTTGTGGCAATTGACTATAAGCAATTGTTTTTATATCATTCACCACTGAAAATGGTGAAAATCACCTGGAGATGCAGGCATCTTATTTTCCCCAACATACTACAGGTATGTGTGGACAGGCATTGAAATCCTCCACTGGCCTCATTTATGAGCACATGCATTCAGTAAATAGTCAAGCACCTGTGTATGCCAGGTAGTGTGTTAGGTGCTGAACATGGTCACGAACACTCCAAAGTCCTGGCCTGGAGGAACTTGAGATCTAGGGAGACAGCACCAAGCAAGCCCATCAGATGTGGTATTGAATGTAAGGGTCTAAGCACAGGGAATCCAAAGCACCAGAGAAGAGGATCTCACTCAGAAAGAGAGTGCTAGGAAAGAGTTTCTTCAGGAACTGAGGCGCCACTACAGTGAAACCTCACAAAGAACTAAAAGTTAGTGGCATGTGTAAAGAGGTAGAGAAACCTTGCGGGCAAAGAGAAGCATGCCAAGGACCAAGGTAAGGAAGCAGGTAGACTGAAAACATCTACCGCACAGTATTACCCTTGAAATCAGCAGCTTCCAAACATGTTCTAGGATGGCAAGGAAGGGTGACAGGAAAAAATAAGAACAAGGAGTTGAATAATCTTTATTGCAGTCATAAAGATTAAAAATAAGCAACAAACATCCTCCTTGGCCTATAAGGATGAGTTGTTTGTTAGTTTACAAAAAGACCTCCATTATTGAAAACTTTCAGGTTAATATTTCTGATGGCATTATTTGTGATGAAAATCTAAATCTCTATTTTCTATATAGCAGCAATTCAGTACATTCAGTTCCAATGAAAATAGAAAAGGTATACTGTACGAACTACAGATATTATTTCCTAACTGCAAAGAAACCTCCTAGCTATACAATCATCA